TTAACAGGAACGACGGGAATGAAATCTCCTGCGGTGCTCTTGAAAACTGTTATTTTTCTGAAGGGTGAGAGATTTGGCGAAATAATTTAATACAGTACGCAGCTTGTGGCGAAAGTAATAAATCCGCGTCCCGGTTACACCACAAGATGACAGTATGCATAATTGTTTATACTTTGTCATTTCTTATCTCGCTACACCTCCTTTTCTGGAAAACGTGTGCTCGTGTAGTTGTGGCTTGGGGCATGTTACATCCACTCCACCTCTACATCTATAATCATGATGAATTTACGCAAAAATAGTGGGACACCGGATTAGGTGATACATTATGTTTAATAAAAGGGACAATTTACTGCAGATTTACGCCTTACGTATTTCACCTTTGCAAAGAAATACTTAATAACGTGTCTGAGCAGTTAGTACTCCAAACTACAATCACTGTTGTGACCTCAAGTACACTTTAAATGATTAAATTTTAGATTTTCTAATTTGGCATCAAATTCAAGAAGTTGACGTTTTATGTCATCCAAAACAAGTCCAAGCATTAATTCTCTGACTTAAATTTAAATTTCACTTGTATTGTCACAGTGTAAAGGGTAATGCATGTTAAGCGAAATCTGTTTATTCATCCCATTCAAGAAATGTATGACGTAAGTTTATTTCTTCCTCTTTACCAGAAAGTTGATGGCATCAATTTATTAAATAAATCTGATTTGAAAAATACATCCAGACACGATATTTCTTCTACTTCGGTAATCATTTTGCCTTTTAGAACTGCTTATGCAGACCCTACAGCCATTAGTGCATGAACTGATATATTTCACTGATTATCTCAACAATGGCTTATCCAAGTTGACTGAAATTGTGAGAACAAAATTACCTTATAATTAGCGGTATTTGTACCAGGATCGATAGAGGGATGGTGAACCGAAAATTTGCCCTGCGTTTAATACACTTAAATTATTAACACTGTTGACATTTCCGGTTTAACTTCAACAGCTCAACCGACTTAAAATGGCTATTTGAAACGTTTTTGTTTGATTTTCATGAAACAATCTATTTTCAATGGCGCCATCTATCAACAGAAAAAATAATAGTGCCATTCTTAGTAAATACGAGTGCATACCATATGATCGAAAATTCAGACCAAAATCACATTTAATATGTGTTCAGCGCCTATCAAAGATAAGCACTTGCGGTTCGTACGTCCGTAAAATAACAACAGAGCAAGATTTTCTCTACCAATTCCGTGAGTTGGAAAGAGATGATGTAAAGTGATTGGTTGTTGATTTTTAAACGTACGTCGCCGCCGTTTCGTGTTATCGTGTTCTGGCAGATCGCTCTGCTTTCTGTGAAGTGCTTTTTGTTGTTCATGTTGCCTGCCGAAACTATTTTATTTTACAAGCAGTTGTTCTCAAAGTTAATGCGGTTTTGGTGCTTTTTCTTATTTCTTCTTGTTGCTGTTGGTTTTTCTCTCGCGTTCTGAGATTATCTCGTATTCGAGATATGGCGGCAAATCTTGCTGAATACTGTACTTGCTATTCTATAACCCAGGAAAATACGGGTTAAATTTGTTATAGATAGACACAAATTGTGTTTTTAACCTTCCTGTTTATCATATTTTCTCAACGTTTAATTGCCCTTAGAGTATGAAAAGTTGTTCCGAACTACTGGATCCATAATTGTCAAATTTTATGTGTGCATTAAAGGAACATATTACTATATTTGTGATTTACGAATCCGCCTTCATTTTTAATCCTAGGCTTACAAATTTTCACATACCTAAAAAAATTCAAATTTTATAATACATAGAACCTTTTATACTAGTAGTAAAAGCGACACTGAATCATTACTCCTATAGTTTACTGTCCGGTGTCCCCGACTTCTTCAACTGTGACTCTTATTGTCCACACTTTTTTAATTTACAAAGGTTTTTTGTTGATTTCAATCAACAGTCCAAAAGTCATGTCCAGTTTTTTAGCAAAATTGTAAAATTTTATTTTGCGAAATTGTATTTCGTTGTTTTATGATAACACAATGTAAGAAAAATACCCTGGAGAAGTAAAAATTGCTCGATCGATTTCCACTAGGCTGTTTGTTTTACGGCTATGCTCGAGTTGCGGTTCCATTGGTTTAAAATTTTACTATATAATTTGAATGTTAACGTTTACCAAGCTAAATTTTGAGGTGACGTTATCGGATTGTTGATTGAGATGATTAGACAAATTTTGGTTAGCGTTTACCGTTTACGAAATATTCCGAATATACATATAAAATATGAGAACAGTAGACCGGTAGTTTCGAGACCCGTCTAAGAAAAAGTCGACACAGACCACAGACAGACGGAAACGAGAGACCTATTTTTTCAGACTCTAGGGATCATAAAACTTCGAAAGAACATGGAAGCTTACGCTAGGGGAGTAAAAGTATTGAATTATAGTTATGAATTATAAAATAGTTACAAAGTTTGATGTTTCAGACAGATCGCTAATCACTAATTTGTTCATTAGTTATTTAGTGTAAAAAAGATTTATTATCTGTCAGTGTTAAATTCGTTCTGTCATTTGTTGAGGAGGGGCTAAATATACCGACAAGTACTAACGTTGCAAATTGTGCTAAAGTATATATACTGTACTTGACTGTCAACTTAGATATCGTAGATAATTAATGAGTGTTCTATTGAAAAATCATCAAGTTTACCCTACTTTTTAGAACAAACGTTACGAAAAACGCATGTTTTTTATTAGTCCATACTGTTGTATATAACTGACAATTTCGCGTTGTCAGCTGTCATCGAATACATTTTAGGTTTATTGCAGGCATACTTCGTAAAGTTTAAAAAAAATCAAGGTCTGCTTGATACTTTTTAGAATAGAACACCGATATATTCTTCTTAAGTAAAAACATGGAACATAAGTACAGGGTGTCTCAGCTAAAACTGGCTAATATCTTGAGAACGGATAGAGATATTGAAATTCCGTAAAGGCCATTGTTATGACCTTGAAGAAAGAAGTTTATTTTAGTACATCCCAAAGATGACACATATATGTCGACGTCGCGACGCAAACTGCGACATAATTTTTTAACAAATTTTGATACTTTGAAGTATTTCTTGATATTTTGATGGTATTTCAAAAAAGAAATTTGCTTTCAAAGTAGTATTGATTGTATCCTATGATTTTTAAATGTTAATATAATGGGAGGTTCTGGAAACAAAAAATGTGAAAGACGTAGTGGAAATATTTATATTTTATTGTATTTTATTTTTTTAATTAAATATGGTCATGGGAAATTCTTACTGATTTTGGTAAATGACTACTTCTAAGAAAAGAGAAGGCGGGTGCGCGGGGCTGGTAGCTGCTAAGATAAGAGTGATTTTGGCAATTGAGATTCTTCTAAGAAAATAGAGGGCGGGTGGGCGGGGCTAGTACAAAAATATGGTTGTGTTGTTGTTGTAATAATTTGATAAAATTCCATTTAACAAAATGTTTCCTGATATAAAGCGAAGGTACAAATCGAGTAAGCAGTTAAAAATGTTTGACGTATCAAAAATTGTCAAAGTTTTAAAAACCCACGTTTTGGGATCCCATAGATTTTTTTTCTAAATTATTTAAAACAATTTTAGGGGGCTTTGGTGCTCTATTTTTGGAAAATTCTCATTTGACCTGTTTTTGAGTTAATTTTGAAACCCCGTTTATTTTTTTTTTTTGAAAAATTTAGAACAATCTTGAGATGCTAGGTATTCCTGTTTGGAAAGAATTTGAAAGTATTAGAAAGTAGTATCTTTTCTTATAATAATTTATTTAAATTTCTTAGAAGATATGTCATTTGCCAAAACCTGTCTTATCTTGGCAGCTACTAGCCCCGCCCACCCACCCTCTCTTTTCTTAGAGGGCATCTCATTTGCCAAAATCAGCCTTATCTTGGCAAATACTGGCCCCCCGCCCACCCATCTTTTATTTTCTTAGAAGGTATGTTATTTACCAAAATCAGTTTTAACAGGTGCTACTAGCCCCACCCATCCTGACAAAGTTATTGCCCGAAAAGTAAACGAAAAATCGTGCAAAAAAAGACCAAAAATACTTCATCATATAACATTGTGAAGTAAACACATTCGCTAAGAAATAGGGTATCTGAGTGTCGACACGTTCGCAAGAATATATAAATAAACATCATAAAGTTTTAACAAAGAATTTTAAACAAACACCAAACCTTAAGCAATCAATAGAACCAATTTCCTTTGTAAATACACTATGGGCTTGGTAAAATACTATGCTTACATTATTATCGGACGACATTCTTTTACTCTTTGGATTTCTATATATTTTGCTGGAGAACGAATAAACTCAACACAACATACAAAATAATAGATGAAGTAAGGACACAATCGATCCCACTGAGTTTTTTCTTTACAAATTTGCTGTCAATACTTTCAAAAGTCATGAAATTACATTACATTTGTGAAGTTTACAAATTTACACTTATCAATTTTGACATGAAGCTAATAACCAATGAGAACTTGGCAGCTCCCCAGAATGTCATCAAATTTTAAATCTGTTACCAAGCTGACAAAAAAAAAACACAAACATTAATAGTCACTCGGTATTAAAGGCCAAAATCTAAGGCAGCTAGTATTACGAAATATTTATTTGGCGTTAGAAAAACAAAAAACAAATCAATGCCAGTCATAGTATTATTCATTACCGCACGCCACTGAACAAGTCACAATTTTGATTAATTTCGATCGACAAATATAACCAGAAAATAAATTATATTCCGCCACAATGAAAATATATTTCATATAAATGGGATGTTTTTAATGTTTAATTATAGCTATTGATAGATCTAATTACACGTTGAAAATCTAGAATTCGTTATGGATTAGTTGCATTCATCAGCCCATCCCAAATTGGATTTCCAGCAGACACGCACGTGATCAAACCTGTAAAGCCCCATCGTTTCCACACAAAGAAATATTAATTTCGATCATATTCTGTTTACAGAGGGACCCTTCCAATCGGACGCCCTTTTGGTGCCAGAGAACTGTTTATTCGATCACATTCACAATCAGAGCAATTGTTGGACGTTCGGTCGCTGGAACGCCACTGCAGGCAACGCTTGTCAAGAACGAGGACTGCAGCTCCGATCCTTCGCCATGCTTCTTCCCTGTGGCATTTCTTTGTTTAGTGGTGTGGAATTTGTATGCTGTCCCAAACACTTCAAAGGCAAGTTTTTATACGTAACTGCACACATATCGCTTTGTTTCCTTCCGTGTGGATAACTTTCTGTCGTTAAAATGGAGAACACTCGCTTCATTCTTCATGCACACTAACCCTCACAAGACTTGCTTACCGATTTGAATATTTTTTATTGTGCTCTTATTCGGTAAATATTCCCGTTACGAGGGTCACGTTTTTTGCTTAAAAGTATCGGGGTTAAGGTGCCTCGTAAAAGTCGGCTGGATGTCGAGCGTAAGAATTAAAAATGATTTTGGGGGTCTGCAACAATAAAAAATTTTGTTATAGTTTTGCAGGCCTTTATAAATAAGTTAGAATGATATATCGTCACGCTATACTGTATAACAAAATTTTGGACTCTTTATTGTAGAAAAGAAAAAAATATTACATTTTCAGCACGGATGCATAACTTACATCATCAGCAATAATATCACGATAAATTTATTATTGTGGAACATGCTGTATTAGGCACGAAACTTATTAATTGGAGCTGAATAAATTACAGTTGAGTGTAAAATAAAATATAGTAAAAAGTTGTTCATTGCGACTGCCCCGTGGCCGCATAAGAAAGATCTTCACTGTTGTTAACAGTCAAACTATGTACGTCCTATATCGTCAAAAGTCGTTTACTTTATTTTTAAAGTTGTACATATATATGTTAAACATGAATAAACCTAGTGATTAAAAATTTTAAAAGTCAAATGTGCTAACCATCAAAATAAAAAAATTCAAAAGTCGCACAGGCAGTGAGCGAAGCGAGCTGCAAATTATGATAAAGTAGGTGAAACGGGTGTATGAAACATTTTAGCATGTAAATTGGATTGAAAAAAGTTTGCAACTCGTTGAATATGTAATATGCGTAACAAAACTGAAATAAATAATAACGAGCAACTAATTATATCGTATGGTTTTTGGATTTCTGCTCTAGTTAGCTATGACGCTTACGTCAGCCATTTGACTTTCGCTGCTGACGTCCGCGTCATGGCCAACTAATAGAAAAATTTTAAATATCACGGGGTACATTGGTACATTATTTTATCATAAGTATATGATTATGTTATGTATATAATAAAATTACATACAATTTTTATGTCCATTCACATAAAAAAAGAAAACAATCTTTTGGTTGGTGTAAATCGACCGTAGTCTATTGTTTCTTGTATGCATTTATTTATTTATTCTGATTTTTTTTCTTTTAATATCTAAATACTAATTATTTTAGTTTTAATTCACCAACAAAACAGTTTTTCTATCTAGCAATTAAAGTAAAAATTCTCAGTTGTAAGCCCAACAATAAAAATTGGTCGAAAGTTGTTTCGACAGAACTTCCTTGGCTTCTGAAGTACAGTCCAACAAATACTGCTTCTCTAAAAATTATAAAATTTGATTTTTACTTTTTCGTGATAACCTCTATGGAGTAAAAACAATATAGACGGTACTAGTCACAGTGTAATAGAAAAAAAGAAGGTAGGTTTCAGATTCTTAAAAAAATGAGATTTGGCGCCCCCAAGAAGGTTTCACCTTTATAAAATTGACAGTTGGGACTCCGAGTAAGTTTTAAATTCTACAAAAAAAAGACAATAGGCGCCCCCGAGAAGGTTTTACATTTTTAGTAAAGATAGTTGCGACCCCCAAGAAGGTTTCAAATAAAAAAGACATCCAGCGCCCCCGAGAAGGTTTTACATTTTCAAAAAAGACAGTTGGGACCCTCTGGAAGGTTTCAGATGCTTAAAAAATGAGATTTGGCACCCCCGAAAAGGTTTTACATTTTTAAATTAGACAGTTGGGACCCCGAGAAGATTTTACATTTTTAAAGAAGACAATTGGGATTCCCGAGAAGGTGTCACATTCTCAAAGAAATACATTTGGGCCCCCCGAGAAGCTTTTACTTTTTTAAAAAAGATAGTTGGGACCCCCGAAAAAGTTTTATATTCTAAAAACAACATTTGACGCCACCGAGAAGGTTTTACATTTTTAAAGAAAACAATTGGTATTCCCAAGAAGGTTTCATATTTTCAAAAAATACATTTGGGGCCCCCGAGAAGGTTTTACATTAAAACAAAAACAGTTGGGACCTCCGAGAAAGTTTTACGTTCTAAAAAAACATTTGGCGCCTCCGAGAAGGTTTTACATTTTTAAAGAAGATGATTGGGATTCTCGAGAAGGTTTCACCTTCTCAAAAAAATGCATTTGGGACCCCCGAGGAGGTTTTACATTTTCAAAAAAGACAGTTGGGACCCTCTAGAAAATTTTAGATTCTTAAAAAAATGAAATTTGGGGCCTCTAAGAAGGTTTTACCTTTATAAAATAGACAGTTAAGACTCCGAGTAAGTTTCAGATTCTACAAAAAAAAAGACAATTGGCGCCCTCGAGAAGGTTTTACATTTTTAGTAAAGATAGGCGACCCCCAAGAAGGTTTCACATAAAAAAAGACATCCAGCGCCCCCGAGAAGGTTTCACCTTAAAAAAAAAAAAACAGTTGGGACCCTCTGGAAAGTTTCAGATGCTTAAAAAATGAGATTTGGCGCCACCAAGAAGCTTTTACTTTTTTAAAAAAGATAGTTGGGACCCCCAAAAAGGTTTTACATTCTAAAAACAACATTTGACGCCACCGAGAAGGTTTTACATTTTTAAAGAAAACAATTGGGATTCCCAAGAAGGTTTCATATTTTCAAAAAATAGATTTGGGGCCCCCGAGAAGGTTTTACATTAAAACAAAAACAGTTGGGACCTCCGAGAAAGTTTTACGTTCTAAGAAAACATTTGGCGCCTCCGAGAAGGTTTTACATTTTTAAAGAAAACAATTGGGATTCCCGAGAAGGTTTCACATTTTCAAAAAATACATTTGGGGCCCCCGAGAAGGTTTTACATTAAAACAAAAACAGTTGGGACCCCCGAGAAAGTTTTACGTTCTAAAAAAATGTAAATGTATGTAAATGTATTTACTTGAACCAATTATATATACATTTTGTACATAATCTGGCGAGTCAATTTTACATAGTCAAATATAATAACATAGAAATAAAAAATTACAACACTAAAACATAGGCGTACATAAATAAAACAATAAAATAAGAACAATGTAATAACAACACTATATATGTAATGAGGAAGAAAATATATACAATATTAGTGGAACATTTATTTCGTTTCTGTGTTTCGTTGTAAGCATTGTTACATATTCCTGAATGGAGTAAAAATTTTTTTCTAATAGAAAACATTTTATTCGTTTCTTAAATAAAAAATTAGGTGTGGTTATTTTGACGTAGTCAGGTAACAAATTATAGAGATAGCATCCAGCATACCTGGGCGATTTTTTGAAGAAAGTGTGGTTGGGTTTATCTATATAGAAAACAGATCTATTTCTTGTTTGATAATTATTATTGTATAATAATTACTATAGAGTTGGAATTTGGACTTAAGAAGGTTTCACATTCTTTAAAAAAGACCTTTGACGCCCCCGAGGTTTTATATTTTTAAATAAAACAATTGCGACCTCCGAGAAGCTTTTACATTTTTAAGAAAGATAGTTGGGATCCCCGAGAAGGTTTTACATTTTTAAAGAAGACAATTGGGATTCCCGAGAAGGTTTCACATTCTCAAAAAATACATTTGGGACCCTCGAGAAAGTTTTACGTTCTAAAAAAAAAACATTTGGCGCTTCCGAGAAGGTTTTACATTTTTAAAGAAGATCATTGGGATTCCCGAGAAGGTTTCACATTATCAAAAAAATACATTTGGGGCCCCCGAGAAGGTTTTACATTTTTAAAAAGACAGTTGGGACCCCCGAGAAAGTTTCAGGTTATAAAAATAACACTTGGCCCCACCGAGAAGGTTTCACATTCTCAAAAAAATGCATTTGAGGCCCCCGAGAAGGTTTTACATTTTTAAACAATTTGGGACCCCCGAGAAGGTTTCACATTTAAAAAAAAGACATTTTTAAATAAAGAGGGGCGTATTCTCACCTTTTCGACAAAATGGGGTAATTACATCAATAAAAAATTCTTATGACGTCATAAATATAGATAATATACAATGCGAAAGAAAAAAGAAAAAAAAAGGAAAAAAACAAAATGCCAAATTTGGAATCGAACGCGTGACGTCGGGTCTGCATTCCTGACTCGTACCCCCAGACCACGACCAGAAAACACATGCGTAATCTGTTGCTCATTAGTTAATGTTAACTTGGCCCTACTATAAAAGTGGCCAGTCGTCCCACGAAGTCGATTACTATACTTCCTTAGCTTACACTCGGGAAGTAAAAATTGGTCTAGGGTACTTAGATAGCACTTACCTCGCGACTTAAATACAATTATTTTAGATTTAGCAAAATTGTATTTATTTTACGATAACCCCTATAACAAAAAAATATGGAGATAACACAAGTCACCGTAAAAAAAGCAACACTCGATAAGAATGGAATTCGAACTCACACAGGGCAAAGCAGAAGCGAAAACAAATTTTATAAAGTAACTGTGATAAAAATCAAGGCAGATTCATAAACTACGAGTCAAGAGTATATTATTTAATAAAAATTAGGTAACCTTACCTACGCAAAGTGATGAGGGAACGTTATCAAATTGTTGGTAGGGATGATTAAACAAATTTTGGTTAGCGATGGCTAAAAATTTCTAAAATCATAAAGTCAAAATTTTTATATGCCGAGCATGAATTATGTTAGGAATTTTTTTGGAAAAAAAAACTGAATTATACAACAAAATTTTGCAAAATAATAACGATGACACCGTGTAAATCAATAATCATAATTCATGTGTTCTGTTCGTCCCTTCTAAAAAGTTGATCCGTCCGCTACTTCATGTTTTCTCGCCGTGTCATCCCTAGAGTATGAAAAATTAGTTCTTCCACGTCCGTCTATCTGTCGTCTGCTTCAATTTTTATTGGACATATATATTACAAATATATTGTAGATGGCAACATGACGTCACCTCAATATTTTGCACAGTAATTTTATGAATTAAAAAAAAACC